CTCTCTCTCTCTCTCTCTCTCTCTCTCTCTCTCTCTCTCTCTCTCTGTCTCTCTCTGTCTCTCTCTTTCTCTCCCGGTCTTTTCGCTCTCAGCGTCGGTCTAGCCGTCTATCTATCCGTCTGCCTTCTCCGTCGCAGCCTGCATCGCCGCTCGATCCATACCCCTGGGAAAATCGCGCCCTCATCCTTCCACCTCCTGTTTCCCGATCTCTCTCCTCTCCGTCGCAGCGAAATTCGAAAGTTCATCGTCGTGCCCACCTGCCATCCGTTCTACGAGACCAGCGAGAGCAGCTAGTTGGCAAGTTTGCTCTTCCGTCGTGTGCTAGACGAGCTTTTTCGCGCGAAATTAGTCGGAATTATATCTGCCATCAGATAAGATAGTCGTGTAAATGTTGTCGTAAAGGCATTTCGATCTCTACCTTTAGCCGTATCCTAGAAGTTTCTGTATTGTCGCGGCAGCACAGCATTGCAAGTGTTCGCGAGACGAATAAAATTGCACTCGTACACACGTCGAACGTTTGATAGCTGTTTGTGCTTCTCGTGAAGATGCATGATTGACGAAGAACATGATTGCGCGTTCGTGCTCAAATGAGACGAGACCGATTCGAATCGTGGAACGAGTCAGGCGAAAGATACCGACGATTCTAAATTAAAGCGGCTACCACGCCGCTTATTCAGCGCGAATCGATCGGAAACTTTGCTGCGCGAACCGCAGACGCATATTTCGTACTTTGAAACGGAGTTTGTTTTTACGTAGTGCCGGATTTAACCGAGCTTTTTTTTCAAACGGTCATAGAGCAGTCGTATAAAGGTCTGGGCAAATCGGTTGAATTGCGTATACAAACATTCCGTTGGTTTTCTGCAACTTGCGCGCGAATACATCCGCGCAATGGTATTAACAAATACCGCGATCAGCTCGTAAAAAGTTTCGCGCGTCAGTCTCGACGACGAGTCTCTCTCTCTCTCTCTCTCTCTCTCTCTCTCTCTCTCTCTTTCTCTCTCATCTCTTAATGACCGGCGGGAAGAGATACGCGACTGTCAACCATGAACCGACGGGGCGACAAATCAAACGTCGTATCATCAGGCGCAATTATCTCTCCTTCGTCACGTTTCGTGCGAAGCGCTTCGAGGCGCGTGAAAAACGATCTCGCAATCTATACGCGAGATTTACGATAGCGTCAGTGAACTTCCGATCTCAGTCACTCGAGCCGGTATCGGATGGCAGAAAAATGAAGAAGCGTCAGAAAGGAGGGGTGGGAGAGGGGAGTAGGGAAAGGGGGAGAGAACGACCGGTCGGAGGGCATGCGGAAAAACTCGAGCGCGATCTTAGCCACCGGTTAGCAGTGCGAAAGAGGCGACGAGATCCAGCAGAAAGCGACGAAGAGAGAAAAAGGACAGAGAGAGAAGGGAGAAGAGAGGGAGAGAGAGTTGGCGGATTCGTGGGTGTAGGGACACGGCGGGGGGCGCTGTAAATTACAAGCGGAGCGCCAAACCGCTATGGTCTTCTCTCGGTGGCGCAGGGGTGTCTAGACGTATAGATAATGCCGGGCTTGTGCCGGGGTAGACGCAAGCTAGACGGTCCCTGGTTGATCCAGTCAGCCGAACCAGCCAGCTACCCGAACCAGCCAGCCAGCCAGCCAGCCAACCAGCCAGCCAACCAGCCAGCCAGCCAGCCAGTCAGCCGGGCTACGCTAGACACATCGACCATGTTCCGTTTCTCTTCGTTTCTCCCGTTTCCACTATCTAGCTATCTACCCGCGTCTCTCTTTCTCGCGCCCGTCGCGACCTACAGGGTGACCCTAAATCAAACGTCTGTCAAACAGACCGGCTGAATTCCTGGACAAATTCGTAGACGATCGATCCGTTCCGGATCGATTGGACAGAAATTCGGTTTATCATCACCATCAGACGTCCATCTTCAACGGGTACTTATAAGTTGCGTCGGATCCGCATCCCAGAATTTTAAATATTGTAAGGTCTACGCGTGTGTAATCTCATTCGAGGAGAATTGAGAGATTTACGAGGAAACGATCATAATTGTACTATTTTGTGTACTATTCTTTCTAGTTTTTGTTTTACTGTTGTCAGTGACGAATCGCAGTAATTTTTGCGACTTGAAATCTGAGAGATTTCAACTCGTCGTGAATCAAGTCGCCGTAAACGAGCCTTGAACTGACAAGAAAGATTCGAGGAACAAGATCGACTTTGAGTTGATCGAGAAACCGAAGTCGGGAATGCTCGTGCGATTCGACGGCTTAATTTGGAGGCACCCTGTACGCGCGCTCTCCTCGTCTTACTCGCACTCGCGCCTATATAGACGGCGCAACCGGATTTCCCATCGTTCTCGTCGCGCCAGCCAGCTCACGGACGAGAGCCTCACCTCTCGTGCATTCGGTTCGGCCAGGAGATGCAAATCCCCAATAGCATCACCTGATATCCAAGATCCCATTGGCAGCGATCGTGACGTGGATGATGCACGAGACCGTCGCCGACTACCACCACCTCGTCCCTCCTCTCTCTCTCCCTCTCTTTCTCTCTCTCCTCTTCCTCCTCTTTGCCGACTCGCCCTTCGTCTACCTCCGTCTTTATCTCTCCCTCTCGACACCAGCCACTCGTGTATGCACCGCAAGCGCATAGAATTATTCCGTTTCTCCGCGTGCCAGGGATCGCTGAATCTCCGTCTGTTCTCTCTCTCTCTCTCCCTTTCTCTCTGCCTCTCCTAACTCTCTGTCTCTCTCCGTCGCGTCCTGGAAAACTCTCGACCCTTGAACGCGATTTCTACACACGGCGCCGCTGCAACGGCTGCAATCTCGGGCGAGACAGGGAACTTGGACGTCGCTCGTAACCCTCCGCGTAGCACAGGAGGTTCGGATCTCTGGCATTATGAAAACCAAAGAGTTCGTTTCTCTACAAAGTCTTTTTCACGTTAGAATAATTAGCTGGATATTTCGTCGATAGCTCGACGATTTAATATTGTATAATTACTCCGACTACATGCTTATGCCGTATGTTTACGTCAAGTTTCTTTAATACGTAGTCATATATTGTTTACGATGAAAACGGGGGTGACAACAGTGACGCAACTGCGACGTCGTGTGTCTTAGAGAGCTTCCTCCGGAGCAAGTGCAATATTGTTACAGTATCGCAATATTCTTTCTCCTCTCATCGTCTAGAATGGATATCCGTCCCTTTTGGGACACGCTACGCCGTGCACGACCATTGTAGACGACACAATGGCGATGGTTTTGAGCTCCCAGTGCAATTTGATACCAACATCTGTGTCATATCAGACACGATTGCATGGCGGTTTTACATCACATAGAGTCTCCCGTAACTCATCTTTTCCTCGATACCGAAGAAGCTAGTGACATTTGTTACATCCCCTAATTATCTATTATACCAATGAACAGTCACGTTTCAAAGAAAAACACGTAGACTATCATATCCCCATCGAAACTAATGCATGTATGAAATTTTCTTATATAAATTTCTTTTCTCACTTATCAAACGTGATGTTGCGACGTTATATAAATGTCATGTCCGCCGAAGATCGCGGATTTCAAGGTCGCGAGGCAGATATGATTTGGATGACGTATTTCATCTGCTCTGAAGTTACATAAATAGAGACATACACGAGTGCTCATTGATACGTCTCGTCCGAAAATATCTCTGGGGGAGATGTATCTGATAAACATTCAGGCATTTACGAGACCTGATCTGCGTAGGCCTGAATCGCTGCGTAACTCCGGCATCGCCGCCGCAGGAGAGGAACAAGGAAGACGGGCCCTGCGCATTAAGTTGGATCACGCGGGGCTCACATGTCGCGAGGTAACGCCGTCGTAATCGTTTTCCGTATTTTTCACGGGCGATCCTCCTCGCCACCTCCGTCGCCGTTCCGGGCGCGGCTGTTTATCAGAGCGGGCTATAACGAGGGATTAAGAGCACGAGATACGGCGACCAACGTCTGCGTCCTCTCCTCCTCCTCCTCCTCCTCCTCCTGCTGCTGCGGCTGCTGCTCCCTCGAGCCGACGGTGCGGCGCACAGCCAGCCAGCTAGCCAACCAGCCAGCCAACCAGCCAGCCAGCCACCGTCCTTCGCTAACCGCGGTGGCGTTTTAATCGGTGCCGCCACACCGATGCATAAATCCACGTTAAATAATACGGCAGTTAACAGCGCCATTAAGCCGTTCGAGATACCGCGAAACCGAGCGCGCCGTTCCCTCGCAAAGTCCGTATTTATCGGCACCCGAGAGCCGACGTCATTCGCGGTGGCGGCGGCGTTACGCAGCGTCGCGACGCCACCGAGAAATATTGTATCGTTCCGAGCCGTCCGACCACGCTCTCCATCCGCGCGCGGCAAATACCTGCGGGGACCC